ACTTCGACATTACGTCATACTGACGTATATGGGAACTGTATAGAATCCCGCCGTGAGCGCAGTGAAGATAAGCCCTGAACGGGGTCAGCTACACTCCCACAGGAACAACAGTTCTAAGCCAGCAGCGCCGCTAGGAGCACTCAAAACTGATAGGCGAAACTAGACCAACGTCTGCTCCGGCTTACCAAGTTGCGCATCCACTGCAATGAGGCGAAGGCTGCACTGGACAGGGCAGCAGAATACCATAAGCACTCGAGCACAAGAGCTAACACAGTGTCGACGGCATAGCGGTGACAGCTGCATAACCTTAAGCCACACACAGAGTTAACAGTACGTTGGAACTACTGCGTAATGTGGAAACAGCTATGTAACCTCATAGTCATAACACAGAGTTAGCAGCAATGGTAACTCTGCAATACATACTACTGCACAGCTGGTGGTAACAGTTTCATGAGTACATTAATAAAACTCACCGAACCCACGACGCTAAGGTGGTGCATCAAACTTGGAACCCTGGCGAATGTGTTCTGAGAAGACAGCCAGCATACCTAAATCCCGTAGGCATTAAGCAACCATTTAAAGCATCGAATTCAGAGAGAAGTCTCTGTATAAAACAGCACGTCCCTAGTACCATCCACCAAGCACACAAACAGCTGGTAGACTGCTGCCAAGTGATCCACGTACATCCACAAATCCCTTACAGGGCCAACATCACTCTGAGCATCGGCATCATGCGAGGCTGAAACTCAGCAGATAGGCGGGCAGGGATCAACCTGTGCTCTGAACGGTGTAAGCGACTTCGGAACGTAGCTTGGTATCGGACTGGGAGTGACGCTGCAGTCATCAGGTCCGAGACAATGCGACAACATTCACTAGAATGAGCGTAAGTCTCCAAGTGCTTCGCTGGGGCGAGAGCCGGTGGCAAGGCCATCTTAGGGAGAGCTCCGTCTCAGCACTTGTCAGTGTGAAGTGTCTTGCTCAACTAAGGACCCAGCAGCGGACACACAAGAAGGTTCCACAGCTTGGGGCTGGGGTGCCACCTTGTAGAACATAGCCGATGTTCTATAGCCAATGTACAGAAGTGCAAATCAACACATAACTGAATGTACATAAACACAGTGCCAGTGGCCGTAGCGACGACAACTGTGAATATACGCAGTTAGAAAATAGCCCCATAATAGCATAGCACCTCAGTAAGCAAACAAACAGTCATAACTGTAGCTACAACTGTGAATATATGAGTTTGCACAGAATAACCAGTTGCCCTGATAGGAACGGGGCAATATAACAGCATAGCACATGCACGTACAGCATTTTTCAGAACTAAGATGCATAGTTAGATTAGGATGGCTAGCAGCACTGAAGGAAACAGGGCAGCATTACAGCATAACACATCCGTTTACGTACATACATCCAGAACTGTGAATATGCACGGTTAGATTAGGATAGCTAGTTTTGCACTGAAGGAAACAGGGCAACAAAATAGCAAAAACACGTCCTTGTACGAGCCGTGTAGTCGCCATAGCGACAGAACTGAATATGCAGTTAGATAGGATAGCTGGATGTTGCACTGAAGGATAGAGGGCAACATAACAGCATTACCCATCAGTGTGCACATATCAAACATCTGAGTGTATAATGCGGTGCAAGTCGATGAAGCGACCGAGACTGCATGAATATGCACAGTTCACATAATGGTCAGTTACGTTAGCAACATAACTGCATAACGCTTCAGTGTGGACACAGATGCAGCGCAAGTCGCCGTAGCGACAAACTGTGACTAAGCACAGTTAGATAGGATAGCTAGGTGCACTGAAGGATACAGGGCAACGCGATAGCATAGTCACATTAGTGTGTACAAAAACACAGCGTCAGAGGCATCGCGACATCGACTGTGAATACATAGTAAGTCAGAATAGCCGGTTGCACTGATGATACAGGGCAATATTTAGCGGCGCAAACATAGCACATCAGTGCGTAGCGTGTACACAGCGTCAGTTGCACCGCACAACGACTGTGTACGTAATCAGAATAGCCATTTGCACTAAAGGATACAGGGCAATTTACAACGGCATAAATCATAACACATACAGTGTGTAGAGTGTACATAGACACGGAGTGTGTAGAGTGTACATAGACACGGCGTCAGTTGCATCACACGACAACTGTGAATATGCACTGCGTAGTAATCAGAATAGCCATTTGCACTGAAAGAAACAGGGCAATATATAATGGCATAAATCATACACATAACAGTGAGTTGTATGTACGTAACACAGTGTCAGTTGCATCGCACCACACAGTGAATACGTATTAATCAGAATAGTTATTTGCACTGAAGGATACAGGGCAAAATACAAAGGCAAAATTCATAACACATAGTGTGTAGTCTGTACATAAACACAGCATCAGTTGCATCGCACAACAACTGTTGAATACGTACTGCATAGTAATCAGAATAGCCATTTGCACTGAAAATACAGGGCAACATATAATGGCATAAATCCCCACACATAACGCTGTGTAGTGTGTACGTAACACAGCGTCAGTTGCATCGCACAACAACTGTGAATACGTAGTAATCAGAATAGCCATTTGCACTGAAGGATACAGGGCAACAACGGCAAAATTCATAACGCAGTGTACGGTGTGTACGTAACACAGCGTCAGTTGCATCGCAAGACTGTGAATACGTAGTTATCGGAATAGCCATTTGCACTGAAGGATAAGGAACAGGGCAATATATAATGGCGTAAATCATACACATAACAGTGCGTAGTGTGTACTTAACACAGCGTCCGTTGCAACGCAACAACTGTGAATACGTAGTAATCAGAATAGCCAGTTGCACTGAAGGGTACAGGGCAATATCGTGGCATAAGCATAACACACACATATCAGTGTACATAAACACAGCGTCAGTGGCATCGCACAACTGTGAATCAGAATAGCCAGTTGCACTGAAGGATACAGGGCAATTTATAGCAGCATGAATCATGAACACATATCAGTGTGTAGAGTGCACGTAAACACAGCGTCATTTCATCGAATAGCCATTTGCACTGAAGAACAGGGCAGCATATAACGGCGCAAATCTTAGCACATATAAGTGTGCAGTGTGAACAAACACAGCGTCAGTGGCGTAGCGACAACAACTGTGATTACGTGGTTAAATCAGAATGGCCAGTTGCACTGAGGGAACAGGGCAAAATATAAGGGCATGACAGTTAAATCATGGCACATATCAGTGTGCAGTGTGTACATAAACACAGCGTCAGTGGCGTGGCGACAACAACTGTGATTACGTGGTTAATAGAATAGCCAGTTGCACTGAGGGATACAGGGCAATATATAAGGATATAACAGTTAAACCATAGCACATATCAGTGTGCAGTGTGTACATAAACACAGCGTCAGTGGCGTAGCGACAACAACTGTGGATACGTGGTTAAATCAGAATAGCCATTTGCACTGAGGGATACAGGGCAATATATAAGGATATAACAGTTAAACCATAGCACATATCAGTGTGCAGTGTGTACATAAACACAGCGTCAGTGGCATAGCGACAACAACTGTGGATACGTGGTAATCAGAATAGCCATTCGCACTGAAAGAAACAGGGCAAAATATGACGGCACAAATCATAGCACATATCAGTGTGTAGTCTGAACATAAACACAGCGTCAGTGGCGTAGCGACAACAACTGTGGATACGTGGTTAAATCAGAATAGCCATTTGCACTGAGGGATACAGGGCAGCCTGACGACATAAGCTGTAAGCTGTGCACCTCCATTACCAGAGCGGGGCGTCCTGACGCGGCGCTCTCCGTGGCCTGTGTCGCCACATTCCCGGTCCCGCCCTCTGCCAACGGTGAAGATCCGGTTCGTTACGGGTTCGAACCGTTTTGGCGGCTGTAGCCGTAGGCGGGACGAGGTGCCGACGAAGAGAGACATCGAGGAAGGCTGGACGTATAGATCAAAAGTTTCGGTTTAATGTCTGGCCGCGGCGCGACTAAATTTTTTCTGCTGTGAGAGCTGGGATCGAACACGGGTCTCCCGTGCGACGGCTTTGGGGTTCGCCACTGAGCCACAGGGGGAAACACCCACTTTCGCGCCTTCAGACACAGAGCCATCGCCTTGCCTCGTCTCTCTGGATGCGTCTTCGCATGACTTACCATAGGACGTCGTGAAGACGGAATCTTTCTTGAAGTAGCCTGGCTGTTAGATACCGGGCTAAGTAAAATAATAAAAGTATCCTTTCCGACGAAGCCTATCGCGTCGAGTCCGTCTAGCGAGCCCGCGAAAAGGACCGGAGAGGCGACGGGCAGGTTTAAAATGTATCTGCTGCGAGAGCCGGAATCGAACACGGGTCTCTCGCGCGAAGGCTTCAAGTTCCGCCACTGGGCCACAGGGGAGAACGACTGTCATCTCTTCTTTGGGCGTGAGAGGGCCCACCAGCAGCCGCTGGCGGCAGTGGGCCTCATCCCTGCTGATGCCCGGAGTTTATGAGGGCGCGCACTGGTAGACCAGCACGTATGCCAGTCGTCCGTGAGTACGGCCTCGGTAGATCCTTGTTTGGGTAGAGCGAGTCGATACACACATATCTGGCATGTAGCAGCCATCGGATGCGGGGAGGAAACATGGTGAGTAACCTCTATTGCAACTTCCACGATGACTTCATATAAGACTTCTAGCGTGAAGAAAGAGATTCTGACGTAATTGTCGCGCCCATGCTATTTTATACTGCCCGCGGACCGGTCAGCATTTGCATGTTTTGCGTCAATTGGCCAGCTGTCTCCAGCTGGCGTTATCCTATAAGATTTCAGTGAAAATGGAGAAGGGAGGAGTTCCCATATACGTCAGTATGACGTAATGTCGAAGTGACCGCCTTGAAAGGGAACAGACAATCAGAAGATCCCATTTCTCTTTGAAAATTAGCATAGGGTAGTGTATAAAAGCCCCTGTATTCGCACTTTAGTACGCATTAAATACTTAGTCAGCTTTGAGAACACAGTATCATGCCTGAACCAGCCAAGTCCGCGCCCAAGAAGGGGTCCAAGAAGGCCGTCACCAAGACCGCCGGGAAGGGAGGAAAGAAGCGCAGAAAGTCCAGGAAGGAGAGCTATGCCATTTACGTTTACAAAGTCTTGAAGCAGGTTCACCCTGACACCGGTATCTCCTCCAAGGCGATGGGCATCATGAACTCTTTCGTCAACGACATCTTCGAGCGCATTGCCGGTGAGTCGTCTCGTCTCGCTCACTATAACAAGCGCTCTACCATCACGTCGAGGGAGATCCAGACCGCTGTGCGACTGCTGCTGCCCGGCGAGCTGGCCAAACACGCCGTGTCTGAGGGCACGAAGGCCGTCACCAAGTACACCAGCTCCAAATAAAGTACCACCTACTAATCTCAGTTACCCAAAGGCTCTTTTAAGAGCCACCCATCTTCTCGTTTGAAGAGCTTATAATGCTTGTAAAATGAATGAACTGTTTTATTTGTGGCAGTGATGGCCTGTTTCAGCAGGGTGTGGTTAGGAATTAAAACAAGATTGTTATGAATCAAGTGTATATTTATATAAAGTAACCTACATAAAATGCAGTTCAGTAGTTTTTTTTTATAATGGCTTATACAATTTCTGAAACACGCAAAAATTTTTTCAACTCTACACACAACTATAAAATGCGCACAAATGCAACATGTTGCAAAAAGCAAACCTCATTCAAAACTATTTTTTACTTCGAAAAATTGCTATTTGTTTAGTAATTACATACAACCCATCAAATAATTAGCCATAAAAACGCCAACGGATGTGAAAAATGTAAAACATTGCTATCTTGTGTCTTTTGCTTGGATAAGAATGTACTTTTATACTTAAATAAACTTGGATTCTATAGGCTACTCCACAAAAAATGTAAAGAAATATGAATTTGTAGATTGTTTGATGAGTAGACACATAATATTAACATTACCTCTGTAGGCCTCTCTGTGGCAGCAGAAACTGTTTCTTCATCCCCATCGTCCTGTGAAGATGAGAATTTGGTTGAGAACACTTTATAATAGCCTACTATTTGTCATAATTTCTGGTGTATTGAGTAGGCTACTTATAACTGCATGGGGTTCTGTTGGGACAGGAGGCTCTAAACGACAGATATTACCATCAGAATCTGTTGGGACCTACGAAAAACCCAACCCAAAGTAAATTAAATGGAAATATCAAAAATAGCCTATATAAAAAATAACACAAATGTAGACCTCTTACATTTTTTTTGAAGGCCCTTGAATCTTTGGGAGTGACTGGCTCTGATGAAGCCCCTCCAGGAATTCCCTCAGCCACTGGCCTTCCAGCATTCAGGCTCAGGGCCATCTCCTCTGCATTTGTCAGAGGTGGTGGTGCAGGTCCTCTCCCACGTTTTGCGAGCCTCTGCCGCCTTTCTGTTGGCTGAGTATCAAATGAGAATGAACGTGTGAAAAAATAATTAGACCTATGTCAAATAGGCTGCTGCACAGCTAGACACTGGGTGCTTAGTTATTTAATGTCAAATGTTTGTAAAGTCAGGTAGCCTACACCCATGATATGCTCAAGCCTGATTGAATTATGTTTTTAGATTTCATTTTCAGCTGCTGCCACATTCTTTTAATGCCTGCAGGATTGAACCTAAAACATGCAAATTAAATAACATACTGTTCTTCCAGTTTCACGTCTGATATTATAACAGTTGGGTAAGTTACTCTAAAATAGTTATTAATTACTAATGACATCTTCAACAGTGTAATTGGATTACTGTAATAATTACTATCTCTAGAAAGTATTGGTCTTATTACTAATTACTTTCTAAATCCCATCAACCTCAACCACTTGAACAATACAAGGAGAGTCAAGAAACTGCACTTTTAATGCTTTAAAATAACAATATACAATTGCATGAATTATTCTTGAATTGACCAAAGTGTGTAGAGGGAGAAGGATACATTAAAAATATACCTTTTAAAAATGTAATGTTAAATCCACTATTGTCAGAAGCACATCCAGTTCTGCTGGTGAGAAATATGCATACCTTATTTTGTCTGGCGCTGCTGCCATGGTGACTCATAATATCTGCGTTCCATTGATAATGGCTTTTTATAGTTGTGGTGCACGCGCTTAACTCAGAGTCAGTCAACTTAAGAGTTGATTGAACTCATTTCAGCTGTTCTGTAACCGAAAACTCAGAGTTTCCCATCTCAGGGTAAGCAAACTCAGAGTTCAAGTTTTAACTCCGAGTTGGTTGAACCTCCTTATTGAAATTGAACATTTTAATTTGTTTCTATTGTGAAGATTGAAACTATTTGTATTGTATAAAGCGCTAGAGGTGACTCAACATTCAGTAGCCTATATATTTTGCATTTAAACAGAAAAGATGTTTCTCAAACATTGAGTTTTGAAATTAGGTAAAAATATATAGCCTAAGAGGGTAATTATTATTTTTTTTTTTTCTGAGAACATTGAGTTTTGATTTCTAAGTGAACATTAGGTAGCCTATTTAAACTAAATACGGGTAGGTAAAACAAAATAGAAAAGGTGGGTCATTTGAACGAATTCATATGAAATGTACTCGTAAAATATGTACGATTTAACAATAAACATACGAATTTGTACAAATTAACCACCTAATAAAATACGCATGAATTGCCGTGAGATAGGGTTGGAAATTCACTGTAATCCCAATTTTAGAAAGTTCTCCACTGATTTAAAGTCCCTTTTTTCTTGTCAAAACCTTTGAACACAAAGTTTTCGAAAATATATCACCCTTGAGTCTGTTGAACCTTTCATTTAAAAAAGCCTATCGCATGTGTGACGTCACAGTTTTCACAGATTCACGTGTTTGTTTACACCGATATGGGTGTCCTTTTCAAAAACTTGCACTAAAACGCATAAAAAGTCTTTTGTTTTTAGTTGAAACGGTGTAGTCTGAACAGCAGATGTCTCCCTAACACTAGCAAGTAGTTACTGTAAATCAGGTGTTTTAATTAGTGGGACATCCAAAATTTTCTGGGAGGTGGATCCTCAGGAGTCAGGACTGGAGTTGAGAAACACTGCTCTAACAGGTCCAATTCCAAAAACACGATTACAAGCCTCAAAAGCTAAACCCAATCTTAATTATGTCTGTTTCCTGACCCTTTATAGGCGCTTTGTATTAATCCGGAGAGATGAACAATTTTCAAAAGGAACATTTCCATCTAAAATGACAGGGCAAATGGTAAGAAACCGGTTGCAGTGAACCCACATGTTGCCACTCTTCTCTGCAAAGTGATGGATTATCAGTGGAATTTCAGAAATTTAAGAAGCACACACACACCTATTTTTTTCCTTTTATTGTATCCTTTTAATATTCGTTATCTGTCTCTAACTGTATGCTCCCTCTATCTGACTCTTTGACTGTATCGTTATGTATAATAATAATATATAATATATTGTCCTCTTTGTTCTTTTCAATATTTCTAGACACTCTTTGCATCCTGTGATGGAACAGCCAAATTGTTCTCCTTTTATTTGATCAGAAGTTTTTTGGACTCACTTTGGGTCATTATTTGGCCATGTTGGTTGGTTTAGGAAGTGGTGAAAATGTATTTTATTATGATCATGTTGGTCAACTTGTTGTTTTAAATTTATGCAGATTGCGTATTTCTTCTTTGTGTGAATGGCCATGATGGCTAATTTATATTTCAAGTAATTTTAATGTCCATTAAAGAATACAATTATTTTGTAAATCACAATAATACAAAAATACACAATTTTATGATTTTTTTTTTCATACCAATTTGAAATTTATAAAATTAAATACAGTTTTACATGTTTTTCAAGATTAGGGGATCAAAGTAATAGGAATCAAGTTGTGCATTATACAACACTTTATATAAACAACTATTTTAAAATAAAGTTATTTACAGTATAGGCTAATCAGAGAATGCAGGAAACTTATGTAAATTAATTTACAGAGATACTACTGTAAAAATTAGAATAACTGGCTGGCAATCCTCCTGCCAGTCTCTTACTCTAAAATTTACAGGTATTTTTTAACAGTGTAGGTGCAACTGCAGTTGTGAAGTAATTAATTTAAACCAGAGAAGACTGGAGATGTGCGATTTAGTTTCAAACATGAGGAGTGAAATGTTACAATTCAATGAGCATAATCTCTGCAGGACAGTGGCCATCCAGGACCGAGTTTAGACCACACCCCTGACCTAGGCATATACTGGAGAAAAACAAAAAACTTAAATCAACAAATAATTTACTTGGGGGTAGGACCATGCTTTGATGTTACAGCTACAGTCTTGTAGCCACAAACTATAGCTCACCTTACAGCTTATAACAGCCAAAACATTAGCACTAACAACTTGCATGAAAAATATCTACAGACACACAATAAACATAATTTACCTTTGATGAGTTTAACTAAAGCAGGAATTGCCATAACAAAAATAAATTAAGTAAAAAAAAAAAAGTTACTTTCTTGCATGAAAATTTGTTTTTCTGAAGGACTAAACCAAGCCAGAGACAATTTATATAGAGACATGCCACTTCCTCAATCCTCAATACAACTATATAGGGAAAACCCATAACGCCAAAGATGGCGGTTGTATGCACATGCCCCGCCCCTCCCGCTGGAAAGCCAATCGTCTGCTTTTAACAGTCAAGCCGGGAAACATGTAAGCCTATCGTCTGGTTCCACTGACGCATGCGCACAGTTGAGGTTTGCGACAGCGGAGACGAGAACCCTTGCGCAGTAAACGTATAACCTGTGGGCAAAAAGGCCTTTTAAACCTTATTTTGGGGCAAAGTCATCTAACTTTTTCAGCGATTGTTATCATATTTTACTGCTGTTTCTATACAAGCAGTTTTTATGTCCTGGTTACCAGTGAAAGTGCAGTTCTGACTCTCTGCCCATTCATTTAGATAGGAGCCTGGTCTTGTTAGTCCGAAATAGCTGCCCGGAGGCGTTGCCAAGATGGCGGCCGAGTGGCATGACTTGCCTAAAAGGACTTTGACCAAGCATGTGTGAAGTGAATCAGGTGATTTGTAACTTGTTCCTAATTGGAGAAATTGAAAGTTTTAAATTTAACCCGTATTACAACCGTCCCCGCGTCTGCACTTGCAAATAATATTTTGTTTTAAAATATACACACATTCACTCTTATTGTTATGTCTGATATGTCGAAAACGCAAAACGTGTCTTGCCTTGTCACATTCAGTTATGAATTATATGAATGAATTGTAAATTATAGCATATTTTATATTCAAAACAGTGAAATTTCATAAAAAGTTCAGTAGCCTAGCTTGCATCCCTGTATTAATGTCGGTCAGTCAATATTCCTCTCGTAAAACAGTTGTCAAATATTAATTGTTTAGCTGCTACTTTCCACACACTCTTTTAGTGGTAAAACAAGCGGTGCACTCCTCTTCTGTGATCAGTTAATCCTGCCTTCTTTGTTTGGCCAGTTAGAGTGGTGCAGCAGGTATCACTTTGTAGGCCAAAATGTGGAATCGAGTTAGCAAATTTTGCTCTTCCGGGTTCATCGTCCCAAAATCAATGTTTTTTTTTTTATGGGTTT